TGAAAAGGGCCGCATGAGCGTTTGTTCTCCCCTTGCCACTTTAAGTGATTCAATGCTCACCAATGATCTGAGCCATGGGGCAAGTTTGTTTTCCTAAGAATCTTTTTGAACATTTCGAGAGCATATGTTTGAACATTCAAGGAGTGCATATGAACATATATTTACGAAAGGTCGCCTCCGAGGGGATAAATCACCATGTCGAACATTGCATTTTTGTTCCTGCCTCTCGCGTTCTGTTCTCTTCCCGCTGTCCTACCTTTCGTGTCTCCCTCCTCTCAAGTTTTGAAGAATGTTTTTTGTCCCGAGCAACTCTGGACAAATCAATGTTGTGGAACTCATTGACGCCATCTGCTGCGATGTCGTGAAATATGGAGTTGATGGCAATCAAATAATCCCGTCTCAAGTCTACTTCCTCGCCGGCAATCTCCAGACCTGTGGATTTACTAATGACAAACCATATGGCAGCGACTGTCACTTCTGTCCCGTTTATTTGCATCATAGCCACGGCAAATTCTTTTCAGCGGAGGTGCATGAATGTCAAACTTCAGAGTCATGCCTGGGAGAGGCCAAAGAGATCTTTCAAAATATTCAAAGCTTTCTGGCTGCATAGTAGTCGCTGATAATGTTGAATCTATATATTATATATGTTATACTATATTATGCTTCATGATCATCATGATCTACAAATATCCATATATGTACAGCCATAAGACTCCAACAACCAGCTTTCGCATGTTCAGCTGGGCATCACCCAGCATGCCCATGCATGCCCATCCACCTTCAGAAAGGTGGGGAAAACAGCTGGCAGGTGTTGGGCAAAGTGCTACGCTCTCCTGCACAAGCTTCTAACGTGCTTTGTGCCGACATGAAAGTCAGAACTGAAATCAAGATTAAACATCACAGGAAGCACGAGCAATCAGTGCATGCGTCGATGAAGGGTCAGCTGTCCTCCAAACCACGAAGCAGCGCCGCACCTGTGAGCCGGATTACTGCTGGCTGCGTCGAAAAGGGCATCTCCACCTTGACCTGCCAAACACGCTTAGACTAAAGCAGGTGGGTGGATAAAATTGATTTGGTCCTGAACATGGTAGGACCAAGCAGCCATAGGACGTTGCAGGACATCAGAATTGTTTGTTTTCAATAAGCCAGCCTGTGCTGTGTCCTAGCCCTACAACTGAACGACTGGATCGATTTGAAAACAATATAATATATACTAATCTATACGATGCCGATATCCCAAAAATGTCTTTTTTGATGTACATGAACAATATGTCACATGCGAGGTGTGCCTGCTGCACTGTCAAGCACAAGTTGGCAGCATAGAGCCGATCCTCCGTGCAGAAATGGCGCTCGGCGACTCAAGAGACCTCTTCCATTTCACAAGGACACATTGGCCTGAGCAACCTTGCTACCTATGTCATGTTATGTGGGCACGCTCTTCCACTTCTTGTACCCTTCCAGTAACGTTTGATTGGCAGCTCCTGCCGTATGAAGCCGCCGTTGATCAGCGCTCCATCGCATTCACAGGCCGAAAGCATGGCATCAGCCACCAAGCACCCAAAGGCGTTCTCGCTGCTTCGAAGTTCTTGAGTTCGGCTTGACAAGGAGGAGCCAATTGTGCACAGCACTTCCTGGCACACGGAGGAACAAGGACGCTACTAGGGGCTCCTGGCTCCTGGCCTTACTATTAGTAACAAGAAGCTACTGGGGGCACGGAGGAGAGATCTATCCAGATGGAGAGTGGGTTGGATTGGGACAATTCGGAAGACCCCCTTCCTGAGTCACAGGGCATGAGCAGACCTGAAGTCACTAAGTGAAATCAATCAAGTCTTAGTCTCCGGGAGCATATTTTGGGTATAGTATATCCACCAGTAACCGTGGATGATTATGGTTAGTAAAGGTTTTTTCTAACATGGTGATAATTGCATTTCGTTTGTTACAGGTCATGGGACAAATCGAAAGCATATTCAACATCTAGCAACATGTCACACCTCATTCCTCTGAAAAGTGTTGAAAACACAATCCTCGTCACCATCCACCTTCCATTTCTCGATGACCCTGGAAACAGCTGCATCAGCAAATTCTTGTGAAGTAGTATGGAAGCGATAGGAGTGTTCCACCTGAAGTGCTCCATGCTCCGACCGTTGGAAATAGAGGTCTAGCACGCCCACATGGTCCTGAGCTGGCATCTTGGTATGAAATCGTCTGACCTTCATGAGGCTTTTGCCAC